TTACTATCACTTGATCACAGATATAGATACCACATAATTAAAAATAAAAACATGAAAAAAATCATGGAATCATCATCATCTCAGATCACTGAGAACATTGTGAACTGCAAAGAATATAAATGCTGTCTTATAGATATGATCTTCTCTTCCCTTTTCTCATGACCAAGCCGATGGTAGGGGAGATATGAGCGACGATTACCGCCGAAAAACCAGATCTGCCCTCTACCTCACGAAACAGCGTCGTACATCCTGGTCCATTCTTTGATTTTGTCCATCCAGCTTTTGGTCTGTAATCACCTCACGACGTCTACCTATTTCCAAGGTAACCTTGAAGGACCGTCTTGTGTAGACTATTCTAGGGTATGACATGATTTTACCGTCTGATAAAACCATTTCAGCGATATATTTTGATAACCTCTCCAAATATCTGGAAATAATTTTTTTTAAAAAAATGTTGCATTTTAATACAAATTAAAAAGAATAATTACACGTGCCTTACGAAAGACCCAGGAAATCTATCTATATCTGAAATACCAAAGATCGTGTTAATGAGTACTGCTCACATAATTAGAAACATTTTCAAGAATTGATCGGAAAAGATACTGATATACTCATTGAGATGATCCCTTCCAGACTAAACACATACAAATGTTCTCAGAAGCAAAGACTACATCTTACGAAGGTCTTTATCTATGGAAAATGTGTATAAGTTTGTACTTTGTTCTGTTTTTTGTTTGTTTGTTTGTTTTTTTTTACACGAGTGTGCAATGGAAAATTTCATGATGCTATTTCAGACCATAGGCCTCTTGTTGGGATCCAATAAGAAATAAGTATACAACAGAAATCGATGAAGATGATGAGGAGGAGGAAGAAAAAAAGTAAGAATCTTGACTGGTCACTAAGAACATTGTGGGACATGAAGATTAATATCATGCTCAAATTAGTCGGTATACTTGCAGCGGAACCCAAAATACTAGAGCTGATACTGGATAAATGGTAAAATTGAAGAAGAATGGTGGTGCTATCTGGGTGTGAGAAAAGAATGGTGGTGCTATCTGGGTGTGAGAAAAGTGAGAATGGCGCTGTCATAATAGCACTAGTAACTTGATATATAATGTGAACATGCAATTCGTGAATAAGTATATCAGTCATAAGTATAGGAATTGAAACTGAAAGATGTGGTAACTTAAAACTACTGCCGTGCCTATAATAATAAGATCATACGATCAAAAAAGGAATCCTCAAGCCCGCTGGTAGCTTCTGTTTACAATAGATTAAAAAGGCATTCTGTGGAACTACTCTTCTATTTAGCAGAGCAATGAAATATGTTATGTATCACTTATCATCAGAATTTGTGCAAACAATGCATATATATACTACCACACCTTACCGTAGACCTTGGCAAGGGATTGTACTAATCAGAAAGCCAAATAATAATAAATGAACCCACTTTGTTGTTTAGATAGTCACATACCTATCACCTATAAAATGACCTTTATTACTTATTAGATTAGGATAATATAATTTTTCTACGTCTATTTTGCAATTTTTATTACCAAGTTCAAGCTCCGAGGGAGTATGTTGCTTTTACTTCGCAGATATTCGCTTGTGAAAGGTATTAAACCATTTCTTCTCTCCCAGCAATGTTTTAAAAAGCTGAGTATTAGCTCTAACTTGGGTGGCAGCCAGTCAATACACTGAATTCTAAATTGTAGAGAAGGCAGCGCGAAATCTTACTATTAAATTTCCCAATACGTCGTTCACAGATAATAAAGAAGAGAAATCTTTAAGGAATAATTATCATCTAGGTTTCGAAGAGACATATCATTTTTGAAAAATAGTTGAGTTAGTAATAATGAAGGAATGGATGAATGAAACTTATAAGGATTCAGTCGCTGCCGTCATCAATGATGGTGATGATTATGATGATAGAATATTACGCAACTGATGATAATGGTACCCATAAAGTTGTCTTTCAATAATTTCCAAAATTTCATGTCATTACATGCCTTTTCAAACGCGTGTTCAGTACAGGATTTCTTTTCACAAATGTCTGACCCATCTCAGTTGTACCCATCCATCCCCATAGGCTAATCTGCGCAAATTCCATTAGAAATCTTGCCAAATAGAAAAATATTGCGCGTCTGTATATGTGTGTGATAAAGAGGGAAGGCAAAAAATATTTTAACCCATCATTGACGTTATAAATTGAATGAGGCAAAACATTACAGCAACGTGTTTGGGATGAATACTGTCCGGTTGGGCAACCGCGCGGGACCGAGCTGTCGATTCCCGATCCTGTGTGGCATTTCCTGCCATTGCAGCCACACCCATGCCGCCACCGCCAGCATAATAAACCTAACTCGCCCATTTATGAAATGCATGTACGCATCTCCATCTCCTTCTCTCTATCTCTGTCTCCCTATCTATCTATCTATCTATCTATCTGTCTATCTATCTATTTCTCTCTCTCTCTCTCTCTCTCTCTCTCTGATTTGATGTTAGGGTCGGATGCGGCTCGAATACCGTACGATTTCGACTGACTCACTCGGTTGAAATGGAAACGGGTGGAGCTGGAGGAACACGGTTATAGGGCGATACAAGTGGGGGTTGGCGTTTTCCGGCCACCTGCCGACCCACTCAACCTCATTGACTGTAATACTGCATGGCCTTCTCAAGTAAACATAGAACCGATCACAAGGTTATTTCAATAGCTGATTTATTTCTGCATAGATGGGAAGGGGTACTTGGCCCCTATTTTTTTGTTCTTGAGTAGGGTTTCTTTGGACCAGCTGTTCAGAAAATTTCTCAGTGCAATTTTTAATATTTTTCCTTAAAGGACATCCGATGCGCCATATCCACTGGGTTTGCACGCCCCCCCCTCACATTCGATTTATTAAGTATACGAATGCTTTATTTTAGTCTAAAAATCATGTATGAAAACGTTTAAATTAACTTACATGTATTAACTTAGGAAATTTTGAAAGGAAATATTTAGTTAAATTCTGGTGAAAAATATATATTTTTTTTAATTTCTATGGAAAATAATGTAGCTATTAATCAAGTTATAATTAAAAAGTAAGATTGCCACCATCCCTCTCTTTAATAACATCTGTTGATGAACATTGCACTTCTTCATAACCAAAGTAATATATTAGTAGTTTACCAAGAACTAATAAAGTGTTGCTATTAAGCTTGCTTCGCATACCAGTTCGTTAGCGTGTGTTTTTTTTTTATTATTTTAATACCATACCATTTTCGATTGTAAGTAATCATGACTGCACTGGTTGCTTTCTTTTATTTTCTTTAAATTAGCGTGCACTCTTCGGAAGGATAATATAATTGTTTCTCCACGGCTCTGAATTTTAACACAATACCAAGCCCAAGAGCCACTCAAGTTAGATGTTTAATGAATGAGTTTTTTTGTATGAGCGCAAGAGGAGAAAATAACCGCAGCTTATGAGGATATAGAGGATAGATAACGGTTGACTTGAAGAGATTAAATGTTTGTAATCGAGGAAGAATCCTCTCGGGCGTCTCTTCCACGAAGTAGTGGTTCTTCAGAACCGCTTTTTGGCTCTTATAAACGAAATGTTACTTAAGGATAAAAATCGGTTTAAATCTGGTATTTATTCCGTAGCTGGGAGATGAAGAGAAAGAAAGAAATTAATGTATTTTGTAAGAAAAAAGATTTAGATACAATCTTATGAATATATATATTGTCTTGCAATGTATATTATGGGAAAATGAAGTAATTATCAACGAAGTTAAAACTAAATAAAGAAAAATGTTATCAACCTCCTCAGTTATTAATATATATATATATATATATATATATATATATATATATATATATATATATATATTAATATATATATATATATATATATATATATATATATATATATATATATATATATATATATACTAGCAGCATGGCCCGGCGTTGCCAGTTCTTGATTCAAAATCGTACGACTCATACAACAATCGCTATCACTTAAAAATATTTTTGCCCTTCCTTGCCTTTAAAAAGGGTGTCTTTGCCTTTGATGTTGCTACATACCTTTATTCTTGCCTATCTCACACTGTGAATTTTTTCTCAGCTCTATACTAAACATTAAATCTGTTACAAAAAAAGAACTAAACAAATGAACACAAAACGATCAGCTTTAAAAAGGACTCGTAACTGGAAAAACCGAATGATAAAAAAGAATGTTAACAACAAATACTTTTTCACACCCAACCCAGTTCTGCAGAATCAGAATCAATATTGAGTTTAAGCAAAGAATGAGCCAATTGGAGTAAAGTGCCATGCAGATTTAAATTTTTCCCACTTGTGATGAAGCAGCTATCGATTTCTTTTGCCTGCTAGCATGCTAGTTAACATTCGTGTCAGTCAGCTGTTGGCTCTCACGCTGGCCAATAGAATCTTCCTGCCTATTCGTGGCAGCCAGCTATAGGCTCTCACTCTGGCCAGTAGAAAATGGCCGCAAACTACATGAAAATTGCCATAGAAGCATGAAAAAAATCGATTATTTCCACTATCGATGGGAGTTGGGAAATGCAAAGTCGGTCTTGGCGTTGCCGCTAACTTGGAGCATGTGCATGTAAACTTTGGTGCAAATCCATCAAAAATTGCGGCCGTGCATTCGTTTCACACACACACACACACACACACACACACACACATCCTGCTTTTTATAGATATATTGATGAATACTGCAACATTTACTGACCAAAGTTAGTATTTTACTAATAACTAAAAGTAAATCGTTGTAGAGTAATACTAAGCTTGTTTCGCATACCAATTCGGCAGTGTTTTTTTTTATATTATGCCCCATAAGAATCATAAGGGATCAAAAATCTCAACAGGTTCCGTTTCCTTTTACTCAGCCTCTGAAAATTCTTTGTTGGGCATAGGTCTTCCAACAGTCTTTACCTTTGCCTTTCATGCGGAGTAATCGACCATTACCATAACACGCTGCACCATTGGGACGATCTTACAGCACCAGGTATTCTCAAGCGCTCACCCATCTAAGCACTGACCAGGCCCACCCTTGCTTAACTTCTGGGAATGGACGAGGACCAGCGTTTTCAACGTGATATGGCTATTTCTTCATTATATGTTAACCTTCATGTATTCTTTAACATTGTTGAAATCTTGGCCTTCCGGGATCTGGTCCAGCTTTAGGTTTAATATTTATAACGTCAGTTTGCCCACTGTTTAACGCTACGGTAATAAGGGTGGAACAGATTTTTTTTGGAAATAACCCTTGAAGTATGCCATTTGAAGGTCTGTTACCATTTCCAGTGGAGTACCTCATAGGAAAACCGAATCGTATGTTATGCGAATGTCCACAGAGACTACAAGTGTCTCGAACTTTTTACATATCGCTACAAGTTTCTTTCTCTTAGAGAGGTTTCCACCGAAAGCTATAGAGAGCAGCCTATTCTGCTATTTAACCCATATTTCAGGAGGGAAGATATGGATTCATCCATTTCCCCAAATCATTAGAACGAAAATGAACGTAATAGACTAAACAGATTCCACCTTTGTGCTGATATCCGTTACACTATGCGCATTTCAATAATATAATGAGATTGCTCTTTGTTAAAACTGTTAAAAGGGTAAATAACTATATCTGAAATGAAGCTATGAAATGATATTACCAAGAGCATTTCACAGACAAATTCGTTAATCTTACTATAATTCCCTAACATATTTGTCTATCTATCGACAATTAGATTTATTGCTACCAAATTTTCTGTTGTTACTAATAGGATTTCGGAATAGCCACTAAATGTTTATAAACAACTATTTGATTTACAATGTTAATTGTATTAGCTGTTTCCTTATGAAGAAACATTCGGCATTCATTTACCGAGCAGCCTGTGCAGTAAGTTGAAATTCATAAAACATTTCTGTTACAAACATTTTGAGAAAAAAGTTTGTCTGTTTCACTAACTGTTATAAGTCTTTCAAGTATTTATAAGGGCTTCATTCTTAACCTTTTTTTTTAAGAAACGTGAACAGTCAACATTTGATTATGTCATTATTTCTCTTCGAGTTGCATGAGATATTCATTTTAGCAGTTGATACTGTGAAGGTCCTCAAGTGATATTGTTTCGGTTATCTGGTACAGTTTTTTGTTTTTTTAATTCTTTAGCTCCAGTTCACAATGTTTAAAGAAGGATGACCTTTGACAAGAGCCACAATTTTAACCATTGATATGATAAATCGTTTGTATACAGCTGATAGTTTAGTTATTTCTGAACGAGTTTCTCCCCATACATAATATCCATATGAATGTTTCGATAATTCTAAACAAGACCCTTACTTTGTGTCATGGGTCCTTACCTATAACTACAGAATGAACTCTTCCTAACACTATGTATACTACGCCTCTCAAGAGAGAGGGTCGAATCAAGCCGAGCTTCTCGACTTGATGGTCGAACTCTCTGCTTTTGAGCAGAAAGGAACCCGGACGAGGTTCCGCCGAAGGGCAGAATCTCGTTCAGGGTGAATGACCTACCCTATCTCGTTTTACGAGTTATACGGGCATATTTTTGGCTGAGCCTACGGGCTCAGAAACCCACGATAAAAATGACCTTGTGTCGCATGCAACCCTCGTGGGGGGTGGCTAGATACCGAATCAAGCCGAGCTTCTCGACTTGACGGTCGAACTCTGCTTCTGAGCAGAAAGGAACCCGGACGAGGCTCCGCCGAAGGGCAGAATCTCGTTCGGGGAGAAATGACCAACCCGATCTCGTTTATACGGGTTATAGGGGCATTTTTTGGCTGAGCCTACGGTCTCGGGAAGCCCACGATAAACTCGGCCTTGTGCCACATGCAACCCTCGTGGGGGCTAGATACCGAATCAAGCCGAGCTTCTCGACTTGACGGTCGAACTCTCTGCTTCTGAGCAGAAAGGAACCCGGACGAGGCTCCGCCGAAGGCAGAATCTCGTTCGGGGAGAAATGACCAACCTGATCTCGTTTATACGGGTTATAGGGGGCATTTTTTTTGGCTGAGCTTACGGACTCCGGGAAACCCACGATAAACTCGGCCTTGTGCCACATGCAACCCTCGTGGGGGTGGCTAGATACCGAATCGAGCCGAGCTTCTCCGGCTTGACGGTCGAACTCTCTGCCTCTGAGCAGAGAGGATCCCGGACAAGCTCCGCCGAAGGGCAGTCTCGTTCGGGGAGGTTGACCAACCTGATCTCGTTTATACGGGTTCTACGTGCATTTTTGGCCGAGCTTTGGAAACCCACGTTAAACTCGGCCTTGTGCCACATGCAACCCCTCGTGGAGGGTGGCTGATACCGAATCAAGCCGAGCTTCTCGGCTTGACGGTCGAAACTCTGCCTCTGAGAAGAGAGGAACCTGGTCGAGCTTCGCCGAAGGGCAGAGCCTCGTTCAGGGAGGTTGACAAACCCGATTCTGTTTTTACAGTTTCTATGGGCATTCTTTTGGCCTCGGGAAACCCACGTTAAACTCGGCCTTGTGCCACATCTTTCCCTCGTGGCGGGGGGTGGGGGGCAAGTAAATATCGAATCGAGTCGAGCCGATAGTAGTTAACTCCAAACCAGACTGACAGTCATAAAAACACCTTCCACATCTTGTATTATTATTTCGTGTAATATACCTTCGTTATTTCTACTCTTGTGTTCGTGTTGTTCTTCCTTAGTCCTAACATGGACCATAACACTTTGTGTCAGTCAGGTTAGTTAAACTTACTCTTTATCTTTTTAGTTAATTGTATAAACTACATTTCCAGCTGGAAATTTCAAAATATTTTAAGATTTTAAAGACGGTTCAATTTAAATTGTAAGTAAAATGTTAAGGTTGATTCTTACATTGGTTTTAAGAGGTTAATTAAACTAAAACTTTTATTTAATGTTTAAATGTATTTAACAGACATCAAATTTAACATTTACTAATTTTTTAACTTATATCTTATGGCATTTTTTCAATCAGTAGCAAATCAATGTTTTGGGATTCTCGTGTAGTACGACCAACGGAGCTGTATTGATCCCGCTGGAATTAGCTTAAATCTTCGCTTGTAGACAACCAAGTATAAGGAATTCGACTGTCATATTAGTGCTCATAGCCTTCTGCAGGATAAGTTAAGTTATTAAGAATTTTAAAAAAGCTGTAAAACTTAAAGAGTTGAAACAATAAAAGAATATTTATTTGATTTTGCCATTCATTTACCCAACATTGCTCTGATTTATAGAAACTTATATCACATTCCCCAATATTTCAATTGTATTCATTTGTTTTAAATATCTGAAAGTGACTTTCACTTCTCTTATAACTTCAAACTTAAAGAAATTATACCTTTCCACAACTTACTATTCATTTTAACTCTTGGTAAAGTTTGTCCATTTGCTATATCTCCTAAACTATGTTCTGCTAGTCATTGACACAAGCTTGTTATGTATATTATGAGCCGCTTTTCTCTGTCCCTCTTGCCTTCAATATGTCCAGTGAGTGTCAAAATCTCCAAGCCGTCTTTACTTATTATATGCCCTAGAAATTGTAACTGACTCTTTCCGGAGTTAAGTATACATGTCTTTGCTGCTCACAAGTTCAGTACATGGTATTCTCACTATCCTTCTGTAGAACCACATTTCTGTTGCTCCAAGTCTCTTCTTCATCTGGGAAGGGATTGTCCAGCATTCACTGCCATATAGAAAGAAAGATATTATATAACACTTCAGTACTTTTTCTACTCTGGAAAGTCTGGTCAGATACTGTTCCATTTCCTTCAAGTCTCATTTTCTCAGAGCAAATACATTGGAATTGAGAACTAATTTAAAATGGTGTTTGAATGCTTTCAGAATTTCAATACAGCTATTATAAACTCTGATTTAAAAAAAAGGTTCAGTTGAATAGTATTTATAAAATACAACTCACGACGATAATGATATAGTGTTGTCATAGTCTTTAGATGAAACATACTTTGCAGTAAATATGTGAAATTCTTTTGATATATAATAATAATAATAATAATAATAATAACAATAAAGTCAAAGATAATTTCCCAAACATCGTGATCAGAAACTGCAAAATCTGCCTTCTTATTGGCATGACAGTCCCTGCAGATTGTAATGTATCTTTGAAAATCTTAAAAAAATACTATCAAAATACAAAGACATTCAAAATCAAAAGGTCAGAAATGTGGCACATGAGGACATAAACAATTCCAACTGTAATTTGATCCCTCGGATTGATTGGAAAAGGTTCTGATAGACTCATTGAATGGACTCCTGGTAGCCTGTGCCTTAAATAAATACAAAAAAAATCTTCTCACACGTACAGCCCACGTCTTACAAAGGGTTTTATCTATGTAAAATATGGGTGTTCTTTGGGGGTTTGTTTTGTTTTGTTATGTTTTCCTCAAAAAATTCTCAATGGAAAATATCATGGTGCCATCTCTGACCTTAGGTCTCTGGTTGGGACCTGGAAAGAAATGAGTATACACCAGAAATGAAAGGAAATAATAATAATAATAATAATAATAATAATAATAATTTTTTTTTTTTTTTTTTTTTTTGTCAGGGGAAAGTGTCATGACGCCATTTCTAACCTTACGTCCCTGGGCGGGACCCGGAAAGAAATGTGTAAACGCCAGAAATCAAAGAAAATAATAATAATGATGTAGTTGGATCATATTGTTGTGTAGAAAGACGACTGAGCTTCTCTATACGCATTGTTGAACATGGACTCGCACATCCGCTATGAGTGGAACGCCTGCTCATGAGAACGATTCTTCTAAAATAGATCGCAAGACGTAGTGTTTGAGTCGTACGCATTGTCACGCTGAACTAGGGTATTCTCTGTTAATGCATTATTAATCTATGTCTCTCATGTGATTAAACCTGTTCTTCACTCAATCTGTTCTTCCAGTGTTTCCTCATAGTATTACTAACTAGAACTACGAGCGATATACAAATTTTATAACAGGTAGTATTTTGGTGAGAACATGAAATAA